TGACGGAAATCGATCGTGCCGAATGAATCGAAAGGGAGATTGGTATAAATACCGCGGGTCCCGCGTTCTATTTCGGGGATTGATGGAGATCGAGCGCTCATTAATTCCCCGTGAACGGCGGAATTAACGAGCGCGCGAACACGAGTCCTCGTAAAAACTCGCACCGAGCTGGCCTAAATATAAGCGCCCACGAGGGAAATCTCTCGGCTAAGGCTGCGCGTAATCTGAACTTCCTGCACAGCCTTCCTCGCGCCGATGTTTCCTCTTCTCGTTGTCAACATGAAGTCCTTTCGTCATTTATTAACATGTTAATATAGAAACTTTCTTCAGGCAAACTTTCTTGTCCCCGAAACAAGGATTCTTTTAACGAATTAAATATATATTTTAAGGAATCAAATTTTTTTATACGAAACAAACACTTTTCTAAAAGAAATATCTAAAAGCTTGATTCAAGCTTTTTTTGGTCTGAAAATAATTTTATTGAATTATTAATTGAAAATAATTATGTAGTATGTTTGTAAATTGATTGCTAGAATGTCAAAATTGTTTAATATTATCATCAGGCTTAAGCATCTTATATAACAATTTTAATGATCTAACAAAATCATTCTCAAATTATATATTTGATCAAAATTTTTAGACATTTCAACAAAAGTTCTTTCCGTATATATTTGTAAGAAAATGGCATATTGCAATCGGATATAATATCATAATTAAATTGAACTTTTAATTCTCTTTAAAAAGCTAAATTTTTTTATTGCTGAAGAATATTATACTAAGAATACGAAATTATTTATTTCGTATGTTGAACATTAATCGTTCCCGAATAGTAAAATAGTACACACACGAAAAGAATAGTTTTGCAGAAATGTTTAAAATGTTTGACCATAAATTTGAAAACAATTTTGTTGAATTATCAAAATAATTATATAAGACGCATGATAATATAATACTGCAAAATTTTTTATATTCAAATTAATTTGAACTTAACATAATTATTTTGATAGCTTAACAAAATTCTTTTCAGACTATCAAATTTTTAAACACTTCAGAAAAACTGTGTTCTTTCCACACAGTACACTATATCAAGTTCAATTTTTTAATAGCGTTAGATTTTCTCCAAAAATCATTTTTCCATCATCACCGAGGAATATTCCATTATGGGAAAATAAACATGCCTGCTTTACGGCTTACTGATCGTTAATCGGCTGCGAATGGCGCAGACCCCAACCTTGCAACCGTGCCATTGTGTCATCGTTGGCGTCGACGTTGATTTTCCCGCGGATCTGACGATGCGGGCGGCGCTATTAGTCGCGGGTCCCCGTTTCGCCGTTTCGATATTATTTATAATCGTCACCGACCGGTGACGTGCGGGGCCGTCAGCAGAAACGTTTATTCGTGGCCCGTGGCGAGCGTGAGTCACGAAATTTGAGAACGAACACATTCGCGCGCCAGATCGCGACGGGGTGGAGAGTCGCGGCGCGTCTCTACGGATTGCAACCGTCCCGCAAGAATCGCCGAAGTGTTCTTATCGATGATAGATACCGGGAAATTATCGCTCGTACGAATTGAAGTCTGAGGTGAAACGTGACGATGGAACACTCTAATCTCGCCCCGGATATCTCAAACGAGAAGCGACTGTCGACTGTTTCTAACTTGAGCAATGAATGTGAAACTTGCACGATGGACGATATTTATTTATTTCATTAGTTAATGAGAAACAAAAGAGTACGTACTGTAAAATGCTATTGCTGTTGTCGTGAAACAGCACTCGTTAAAAAACGTGAAAGATAACTGAGAATTTTTTAATATCTTTTTATTCGTTTTCATTCATTTCTATGAAAAAAAGAAGATGCCACGAATTTATCGCTATGATGATTTCAGGCAAAATTTAAACAAAATACGGTAATTCAAAATATCCAATATTTCCTATTTTGTGACGGATGATGAGCTAATCGCATATATGATCGAGCGATGAGTCAAGCACCTGACTAACGTGAGTTAAAATTTACATATTTGGGAAAAAGGTATACTCATTATTCTGTCGTGTCTGAACCGTATCATTTGTGTGACAGTGATCTATCTGAAATCTCATGTTAGAAATGTACAAAGAATTGAGATAATTATGATCCCAATCGTTTGCTTATTATCTGTGTGATAAAAAGTAGTCAGTTTCTCTACATCACTTCGAGCACGGACAGTTTCAATATGTTTCAATGAGAGACATATATGTTTATTTAACATAGCGTATACGCAAATAAGAATACGGTAACGGAATGCTCCTTCTTCGAGATATGTCATTATCGGATTACGCTACGCTTCATCAAAGGTGACGAATAAGATTCGCCCCATGACGCATTGTCGAGAATAGTTTTCTTTTATGATCAGGGGCTCGATTCTTGAACTCGTCCGCAATATTACGAATAAATATCTTTCATTCTCGAAAAATGAAACTTGTATGGCACGATCCATGATGCGTTGTATTGTGAATAAAAAATGATATTTCTACAATCTTGCGATTGTCAAGAATACTATTAGAAGGACGATTATTCACAATTTGCCATTGTATTATTTCAAAAATGGAACTCCTTTGCCTCTTTATTACGCGCTTACACTGGCAAATCATATATATTTTAACGATAATGAAAAAAAACATGTATGTAATTTGCAACATTACATTTCTTTGGGTTGCATTTCTTTTAAAGCAACTTGTGTTTTCTTTACATCCATTGATTCATTTCATTATTTTATCCATAAAAATATTAAGGTAAGATTATCGAAAATTGAATATTTTACAAGATATTTGATATTTTCTGTCAAAATACTATAACATTCATGTCTCATAACTCGGAAAGTCTAAACGAAAAAGTATTTAATTAAATAATGTTTTGGAAAGTCATCTTGAAATAAGCTACAAGAATATGCAATAAGTAATAGGGGTTTAAAAATTTCAAAATGATTTTCATGTGACCCTGACAACGCTATTCAAGGTCACGTAACTACCTTACTACCTGGTGCTAAAATTCTACAAGTTTTGCCTGAAATATTTTTCACAAAAATGCTTTGTTATCGAGATATCTCGGGAATCCGGAATTTTTTCCTATATCTTCGTGTATAACATAAAAGAGACTCACCATCCACGAGCATATCTGTCACGATACGTCGACACAGAAAATCCAAACATAGATCTTGCTTCCATGCGATACACCGCGTAGTGCTTCGTCTCAACATTGAAGCCGTCGACGGTGTATCGAGTTGGTGACTCGATGATCGCGAATCCGACGAGGAGGTTCCAGAGAAGCCTCGTCGACCACATCTTGTCCACTGGTCTGACGTATCACTGGCCGCACTACGAACACCGTGTCACCTTGTCGAGTCACTTTCATATATAAAACCCGATCGCATGAAAGAAGAAAAAGAAAAAATAAAGAGGAAAAGCTGTCGGAAAACGCGGCAGACAGTATCGGACTGGACTTTTTATTGTTATGAATCTTAACGTTTAACGCATATATTTAGCAACCGGTAGCAGCTGCACCACCAGCCGACGACATGTGTTTTCCACGAGGCTTTTGAGACCGAGAGCAACGAAGAAGTGAGGAAGAAGGGGAGAAAGAGAGCCGGAGAAGTCTGCTTGACAGACGCCCGCGGACAGACTGAGTGGAGCACGACTCTTTCGGGTAGTCTTCACTCACTCGTGGCTCTCGCGAGGGCCCCGAGAGACTCCCACCCACAGCGCGACGTCGGCTCCGCCGAAGCGCTCTGCCCGTGCGTCGCGACGTCGGCTGCAATAGGCATCGCGACGCGCCGCTATCACATTTACATACATACGTTTCTCTTACAATTGTATGCGCCGCGATTATGTCGTAAGAGCATAAGAGTATATTACTTAAGAATATATTACATATACATTACATTTTTATTTACAATAAGAAAATTATGAAAAAAATTATAGAGCGTCCTAGATCGCATTTAAAAGTAATACCAAAAATTTCACGGCGCTTTAGAACTTGGATGAAAAATTATTTAAATATAAAATAGAAATGTGCTTTAATAAAAATATAATTAAGAAATAATGACAAAAATCTCAATTCTTTTATGTAAATACTTTGGGTATTCAAGATGATTTATGTTTTAAAGTTTCATTGTGTTGTAGAGATTAATTGTTCTGTAAATAAAAGTTAAATTTTCATTAAAAGTATTACAAATGAAACATGTGGTACAAATAAAATGAAATTTTTATTTACAGAACAATTTCATTATCAATGAAATTTTACATAAATAATCTTGAATACTTAAAATACTTATATAACAAAATCGAAATTTTTTTGTCATTATTTCTTAATTACATTTTTATTGGAGCACACTTCTACATTTTTATTTATTTAAATAATGTTTGATCCATATTTTAAACCAGTGTTTAGTTGCTCTTTTCGGCCCGGTTTCGAAGGCGACGCCTATTGAACCTCCACTATCGCCGTCGATCGCTGTCAGGAACGTTTTATATAAAAAATGTGTCCGAATTGTATCTTTGCGCATGCACCCGCACCCGCACCCGCACCCGCACCCACACCCACACCCACACTCACACCCGCACGCACGCACGCAACCGTGCTCTTGATACTATAGAAATTTGTTGTTTGATTACTGATCAACGTATACGACAAACTTGTACGACACATTTAATATTAATTAATTTATTTCAAAATATTATTTTATAAAGATATTAATATATTAGAAGATTACATTGTTAATGTTAAAAAAATATATTTAATTTTAAATATTAAAAAATAATAAAAACAACATATCAATTTTTCGATTTTTTTGCAACAATCGATCATTCGATGTCAATTTTGTTCATTTTTATCTATTCTTTTGATATCGACTTTCTTTTCAATATCGCGCATCCCCATTACTGAATAATTCACGTGAATTGTCTGCAACTCTTTTCGAAACGAGCGCAACGCACCAAACGTATAATTTTGTAACTGACTGAAGTATACACGTGATCTGTCCTAGCTTAATATGACAATTTCTAACCTAATTTTAAAACCACCAACGGAATTCGAAATCTATGTTTTTATGTGAAGGACTATCTAACAATTCGAACAGGAAAATATTACATACGAAATTACTTGCTGAAAAGCTGTCATATACATAAGTGAATCTTTCTAGGAGAGGAAGATCGTATTTGTACAGTGAACAATGGAGATGGAATGCAAAGAAATTGCTATTAGATCACGTTCACCGATCACGCAACGTAAAATTTCAATTAGAAATGATGAAATGGTTGCAGAAGGTGAAATTGACGAAATTAATCAAATGCAATCAAATTTATTTGTGCCGCCTGAAGATACTCGTGGTTTGATAAATATGGAAACTTGTTTGGAATCTGATGTAACTTCAAACAAAATTGACCTTGTTTCTTCACAATCAGTAAGTTTAACATAGATATTGACAGGTAACGATATTTTATTCCCAAATTGATAAAATTTATTAGATGTTAATGTAATAAACTATATGCAATATTAAAACAAAATAATCATTGTTGAAATTATAGGTAATGAGCAATGTGGCATTATCAGAACAGATAGTGAATTGTGCAACATCAGAAATAGGAGATAATAAAGCTGTGAATGTCACAGAGACAAGAAATATAAATTTAGAAAGAATTAGTTCAACAGATTCTTGCATCTGTATGTATAACTGGTCCTCAGCACCAAGATTATTATGTGCAGCTACTAAGGAATACCAGTCTACAAACTTGCATGAGAATTTTACAAAAGGTTGTCAGTGGTCCCCAGATGGAACATGTTTGCTTGTTCCATCAGAAGATTTTAGAATACGCATTTATGAAATTCCCAGAGAATTGTATTCTGGCCAAGGTCCATCTGATTTCATACAGACTGGCTTTATGCCTGCTTTGACTGTTAAAGAGGGAGGTCTTATATATGATACTTGCTGGTATCCTTTTATGAATTCATGGGAACCTATGACATGTTGCTTTATTAGTACTAGTAAAGAAAGTCCTATTCATTTGTGGGATGCATTTACAGGAGAATTACGTGCGACATATCGAGCTTACAATCAGTTAGTAGTAGTACTTTTTATGTCCATTTTTATCAATACAAATAATCCTTGATTTTGATTTAATTTATTTTTTCTTTTTTTAATTTTAAGAATTAGAAAAGATAAAGAATTTAAACCAAGATTAAAATTGATATATAACTATATTGGTAGAAATGAATATTACTCAAATTCTCAATGTTATTTGCAAGAATTGGTTTTTTTCAGAGTTGACGAAGTAGAAGCATCTATCAGTGTTCAATTTGTGAATTCGGGAAGGGAGATATGGTGTGGTTTCAAGAATGTTTTGAGAACCTTCGATACAGATCGTCCTGGACGTCAGACAAGTGACATTTATTTTAAACATGATTTTCCAAATATGACCGGATTGGTCTCGTGTATTCGTGAAAATCCAATCATGCCAGGTCTCGTAGCGTTCGGCACTTATTCTAAATGTATCGGTGTGTATCTTTATTAGGTTATTATATAATTACACATTTTTGATATATTTTAATTGTACCTATTGGCTACAAGTTTTTGTTATATTTCAAGGTCTATATAAAGACGGACCACTGTGCACTTTTAAAACTGAAAATGGTGTAACACAAATTGAATTTAGTCGTTGTGGGATGAAGTTGTTTTCTGCTGTACGAAAAAACAATGAATTTCTATGTTGGGATCTCCGTAATCCTGGAAAGATTCTGTATTCTCTTGAAGGGAGACAATCAGATACCAATCAAAGAATACAATTTGCTATTACACCTGATAATAAACAAATTATTTCTGGTGAGTTCAATAAATATAAAATAATAAGTAATAGGAATATGATGAATAATATTAATATATTTTCGATTAATGTTACGTATTTCATAGGTGGTATTGATGGAAACATCATTGTGTGGGAATTACCAGAAATTACAAATTATAGTGAAGAAGATTTGATGAATCCAAAATATAAAATAAAACTATCCAAAGATTGCATAAACGGAATAAGTTTACATATGAGTTTACCTATTGTAGCAACCAGTTCTGGACAGAGACAATGTGGTATTGAAAATAGTACAGAATACAGAGACAATAGTGTGAGATTATGGTGGGTTTCTTGATAATATATTCCTAGACTTTTTATTTACATGTTAATAGTTAATATAAAACAGTAACTGTAAATATATATATATACATGTGTATATGTATATATGTAGGTGTGTGTATGTGTGTGTGTATATATCTATCTATATATATTTGTATATATATATATATATATTGTAGTTTTATCAAACATTTTGCGTCTATTTTTTATTAAATTTTTTTTATAACGAAAATCTTACAATTGTTTATGAATTATTATAGTTATATTTAAAAGTTAACATCAAATATATCCTAATGTAAATACTAACATAAATACCAATGAAACTTAAATGAATATGAGAAATTCAAAACATTGCCTATTTCTTTTATATTGAATAATTCTAAATTACATTAAACGAAACAAAGAATAATACATTTATGCATATGTTTGTCATACATAAAATTTCGTTATAATTATGTCTCTATTTAATATAAATACAACAGATAAATATATAATACGTAAAAAGATATTAAAAATTATCCAAGATCCATTAGATGCAGTAATTTTACGAACCTGAAATAACTTTCAATGAATATCTTTTACGTTTGATTTTTTATAATTGCTGAAACTTACGATCATTTTTATGGCATCTTCTATGATGTAAGATCATCGTTAAGTGTATGTTTACTCCGTCTTAAAGATGTATTATTACGTGTGTGGGGAGTCATAGGTAATACTGCTTTATTTTCGGAACATCCTACACAAGTCTCTGTTATAATAAAATATTAAAAATTATATTATCTAGAGAACAAATCATATTCTTATAATTATGTAAATAATAAGTGCAAAGATTTACCATCAAATGCAACACTTTTTCGAACCGATCTTCTTTTAGCAATATTCTCTATCAGTCCTACATTCTCAATTTCTATTATATTTTTATTTGGTGTTCTATATTTATTTTCGTCCTTTCGTAATAATTTTAACGAACTTTTTCTACTTGATTTCACAGAATTCTTGGTTCTTTCTTCTTCAATACCATTTTCTTTTTTTGGAGTCATCTAAAGAAAATTATTTCTCGTATTAGTTAATTTTAATTTATTCAATGATTATATATAAAATATAATATATGTGCATGTATGACAAAACTTATGCAATAAGTTCTTATTAAAATATTTTTTTAAATATATTATTTTGAATATTAAATGTTATAAATATATTGAGAAAGACAAATACATGATATAATTAAAAATCAATAACATAGCTTACCATTCTACTAGTTCTATTGGATTTAGGAGTATTATCCATCGAAATAGTTCTATTCCTAAGTACTTTTATTCCTAAATCAATATCTTCCATGTTTTTTGATATTACTTCAACAGTTTGTGATGAAGATGTTGAAAGCAAAATATCTATGTTATCTTTTTTGCTTGATCTATCCTTACGCCGATTTCTTAAGTTTTTCCTAGGTGATCGAATCTTCCTATTATATGACGATCCTAATAATTATTAAAGATATATCATATATTAAAGATATATACATTAAATAGATGCATAGTAGAATATAAAATATTTTGAACAGATGATATAGACTTACCTTGTTTCTCTTTTGCTTGTATCTTGGATACTAGTTCGTTCGGATCATCGTTGTTATCAGAATCTTCAACTTCAAAATTTAATTTTCTTTCAGCATTGATACATTCTTGTGGGCTTAAATTATTCAAATCGAGACTGTCAATTCTGTTTAAAGCAGCAGCTAAACTTAATTTAGTTTCCATTTCTTCATCAAGGGGGACCTCAGTCAGAACTATCCGCTCATTAAAATTGACTTTATGCGCAGATTTTATGCGATCTTTATTTACCAATTCTTCCGATTTCTTTAATATACTTTTGCCTGGCGTTTGATCAGAATTAACATACGATATTGTATCATCTAGTTGAACTTCAGGCGTCTTACACATTCGACTTATTTTCATAGCTGCGAATGGACTCTTCATCTTTTTTGTTTGAGAAAATTGCATTGCTTTCTGTACCGCGTTTTCTTTAAAGCTTTCATGTCGAGAAGAAGTCGACTTGTTTTCGTTAAGATCATAGGATTTAGATCTTTTATTACATCGAGTATCAATTCTTTCTTCAGAGAGCACATCAAAAGAATTTTTGTTTGATGTAACATGTTCTTTATTTATATGCATATCCTGTAGCAATAAATCTTCCTTATCTAATGTTCCTGTTTCCATTTTCTTTTTTCTAGCAGCCAAGATCAAGGATCGTAATGAACTCGGTTTTGACGATACAATTTGCTTTTTAATATACGTTCGTTTTTTGACAGCAGGCCTGGCAACAAGACATTCTTCCTCTTCTTGCCATGCTTTGTTTCTGCGATGTTCTAATTTTTCAAATCTTGTGTCACAATCTTTGACTTCCATATATGTCATATCCCAAAATCCTTGTAGATCTCTGCATGTAACTAGCATTTCTCCTCTACCAGTTTCGCAGTCTTGCACTAATCCACGAAATCTTTCAAATTTTTTATTTATTAGCAAATTTGTTTGTCCCACTGCTTGTTGGATTTCATACATAGCATCCTCAGGAACATCTTTCTCTAACTTAATATCTAGCCATTTCTTACAAAGTTCTTTAAGTCTATCAGTTTCTTTGTTCAAAAGGAGTTTGAAATACTGAGCGGTACGTTCCTCTTCTTCTATGCATATATTTAAATTTTGCATAACAGTATCTTTGGTTGGAATTTCATTAGATGGACGACTAATACCTAATCGTTGTTGTCCTTCTTTTCTAGAGTTTCTTTTCCCGCGGCTTCGCGTGAGGTACGGCGAAAAAATGATGAGATCTTCCATAGAACAATTTTCTTTTTCAAAAGATGTTGGAGTAATCTTTTGTAATGGTGGAGTTTTCATATCACTGTTCGATAAAGATTTATCTTCTTGAAAAGAATCTTTTATGTCCCTTTGATTTGTTGTCTGTGCTCTCAATGACGATGTTAACGTTGTATTTAATTCATCGACAGTATTTAATTCATGAATGAGCGATTCACTTAATTCCAGAGATGATTTTTCTTTATTTAATGATAAGCTCGGCACTGCGAAAGTTTCCAATTTTGCTGTGATATCAGAAACTTGTCCACAAGATTTCTTCAATGATACATCTTTTTCTTGTGGTGTTTGTTTTATTGGTACCAGACCAAATAGTGGTAACTTTTTCAATCCAGATGGAGGTTTAAAACAATAATTAGCAGGAGCAAATGATTTTTGTTTTTTAGTATTAGAAGTTGGTGTTTTAACAATTTTAGAGTGTTTTATTGATGTAAAAGCTAAAGTATTTTTTAGCTCTTGTTTAGCAGCTGCTGCTTTAGCAAGTAATCGCTTTTCTGTAGCTCTTGTAATTCGTCTCTGGGCATAAATTGCTTCGGTTTCCTTTGCTATCTTCAGATTTGTAGTTGACATATCATTTTTAATCAACGAGGAACACAAGGGATGATGAACAACACCAACTTTGAAAGCAGGTTTTTTCGTGGCAGCTTCCAATTTTTTCTTTCTATTACGTTCTTCTTTCCATTTTATTAATTTTTTCTTACGTTCATCTGTAATAATTAATTTAGTTAATGTGTGTACACGCACCCGTGAGTGTGTGTGCATACCCATATGTTATATAGACAAACGTTAAAATTTGATTCACAATATGATTTGTTTTAAATTTCTTTATATATTACTATTTATTGATTCTGAAACAGGTTTGTCTAAAACTCACTAAATGCTTTCATCTCTTTGTTTCTAAGACAAACGATAAATTCTATCATTTAATTTTTGTTTTTCTATCTCTGTCAAACAATGAAAAGATAGTAAAGTGTTAGACAAGCCTATTCCAAAATATCAATATTTCATATATTTTTATAATCACAAATAATACAAATAATATATTGAATTAAGAATTAAGATAAAGAGATAGAATTATATTCACTTCATTTGTTATGATATCCAAGAGTACTAAAATAAAGGCAAACAATTAGCATTATTTGAAATTACATTTTATTAATCAATAAATGTTAATTACGATAATGTTCCCCTAATGCTGGTTGGAAATCTCAAGTATCTTAGGAAACTTTTCATTTGTATAATGATACTTCATAGTATTATTATAAATAACACATATATGATTCTATTAAGTCGTTAAGTACAAAAGATTTAATTAACAATTTCATGAAATATAAAAATAATAAAATCTCAGAAGTAAATTCATAATATTTATAAATTCATAATATTTAATCTTAAGATTAATTTACGAGATATTCATTTTTTTAGATTTTAAATTTAAATTTAAAAATACATTTGATGTTATTTTGTTTAACATTTTATTTAACATCATTTTGAATGCTCAATTATTTCCTTCAGTACTAAATAAGTTCCGTTTTGCAGACCTTCTTTCTTTAAAACGGCATTATATATAAGCACTGAAAGATTATATTTATCAGATTCGGAAAAATAAACGGAGACCGATTGAATTTGAACTTAAGATTCCTCGCCTACTACTAAAAAATTTAGTCTGCACGACTGCGACGGCTCCTCTCTGTTTACATTCCGAATTGCTTTCATGACCGCTTATGGTCGTTTTTACGGTCGTATTTCTTACACACACAAGATATAACATGGAGACGCGCGCGCGCGTGCTTAATATCAAATAGAAAAATAAGATAAGGATTATAATAAAATCATGCAATTGACAATAACAACAGGCACGAGGCTACGTGAAAAATCTCAAATAATTTCTAATTTTAATTAGAGTCAGAATGAAAATGAATGTTTCTTTAAACAGAAATTCTTCACTGCTTACCAAGAATCGGGCTCGTTGGCGCCGAAATGCCTTGTAGATTACGATTTTTGTCAAAGGTCCGTGTTCTGACCTCTTTACGAGATTTATCGTGATTATAAGCGCGTAAATATCTTCTGTGATCCACATCGCCAAAGCCTAAACGTGGATTTTTGTATTGCTCTTTAAAATCCGGCATCCTGCGATAAATGATGCGACCACGAGCATACGTAACGGCAGTACAACTGAAAATCACTTCAAATTGATAGTCAGAACATCAAAGTAGGGGCATACGACGATTCCTATTGGCTCACATTGATGACGTTATTCTGCTTAGGCTGCGTTCCGATATTCACTGCCAGGACTGAAAATATATAGTTCATGTCACGTATATTGTAGAGTTTTGGTACTGGCAGTGAATATCAGAACGCAGCCTAATGCGAATACGACTCGATTCTATGACCGACCAATTGGAGAAGAAAAAACCATATATTTTCTTCTCTGATTGGTCGGTCGTAGAGTCATAACAACATTACGATCGCATTGTAGATCCCACATTAATGCGCACTGCGTAATATTCTGCCAATAAAAAACGCTATTAGAGCCACGAAGAATTAAAAGCAATTATCAATCATATCAAAGATTTTTACATAGTTGCAAACTGCTTTTTTGATGACTTTGGTTTTGTTGTGAGTCGCAGTGCTGCACTCTATCTTCTAATTCTGATTTTGTCAAGCTTCACCGTTAAAATACGGAGTTAGAAGTTGCTAAGCATTTGTCCTCTCATTCTTTCGATGCCTTTGTCGAGTAACGTAATTCTTGTCTGACAATATTTCCAAACGAGGAGAGAGGGCAAGAGAGAGAGAGAGAGAGGGGAGGGGGGAGCGTGTAGAAGTAGTTTGGTTTGTTG